TTCGTGTATCTGATACTGGTGATGATGAGGATGAGGCGGACGAGGTCGCGTGATTCCAAGGCCAGTACGATCTCTTGTGCAACTTCCCCTCGCTTCTGCAGGCAAGGAGGTCGTGCAGTAGTGGCACTCTGGGATGACGGGGGAAGAAGAGCGGGAGGAGGAGATGAGGCGGGAGGAGGAGAAGGAAGATCAGGAGAAGGAAGATGGGAGGGGCAATGTCAGATTTTGCTGTGTGAGAGACTCTGGAAATCCACTTGCGCAAGGATGCGTCACAGGATGAATTAATTAAGGAGTAGGATGCAGGAGGGGATTGAATAGGATCCATCCTGCGACTCCTCTCGAACTCTGGGCCTCAGGGGCGGCCGAATCGCTCTGGATACAGTTTCCTCAGCCATTCAGGGCGCATGTCCACCAAATTCTGCGCTTCCGTCAGGGCGCGCTGGTAGAGCTTCGGCCGAAAGGCCTTCACCATGCACCACAGGCGGCGCTTCTGCATCTCCGTGAACCCTTCCATGCAAGAGTCCGGCGAGTAGTCCATAAAGTTGTAGATCGGGTCGTGGCCCGCGCAGCTGTGCTGGTCCACACAGAGGTACGCGGGGAACCTCTCGGGATCTGTGTCTGAGATCTTGTCCCCGCCCTCGCAGCCGCCCTCGAAGGTGTGGAGGAGCCCGAGGGAATGCCCACCCTCGTGGATGCACGTGTCGCCCTCTTCGTAAGAGCGATCAAGCTTTCCCATCTTGCCAGCCCAACCGCGGAAGGCTTTGGAGTTGACCATCACCATCAACTCGGGGCTCGACTCCTGCCAATCGTTTGGGAACTCGGCCCACCCCAGAATGCCGCTCTGGTCATCGGTAACGACGACATAAGTCAGCGTGCCCTCGCCGTCGATGTTGTGCCGAGACGCCAGGGAGGTGTTGGAGAACGCATGCATGGCACACTCGGCGTCCTCTACGAACTTAGCCTCCTGCAAATGAAACTCGATCTGCGTGTTCACGTGAGGGGGCGGTTCCACCTTCCCCCAGGGAACATCCTCGCGCCCTGCGTATCCCTTGTTCATCCAATCGACCTGCTCTTTGATCTCGTCCTCGTTGATGGAGCAGGTCGCCCGGTCCACGCAGCAGATGATGAACCTTGTGGGAACTACGAGCTTCTTGTCCGCTGGTACGGCTGATAATCTTCCCGAGTCAGAGCAAGAGTCCGCAGCCAACCTGCCATGCTGCAACCTCTGCTTGCGCGACGCCCTGATATGGTCCTCCCTGACAGCATTCACGTGGCGCGTCCACTTGTCGGGGAGGCCAACGTGACCCTCGGCCTCAAAGATGCGCATATTCCTCGCAGTGGACGCGGGCCTGGTGCGGATGCACCCGATACCCGGTCCGAGGCCCTGGGGCACGCGCAACTCGGACTCCACCACCGGCGGCGGCGGCCCATCCGCCAGGAGCGACCAGTGGCTACCCTGCACGAGGCCCTCGGGGCACGCTGCGAGCTGGCTCTTGCCGCAGTGCGGATCCCATGCGTTCTCGATCATCTCTGCAAACAGCGGCGGGTACGGGTGCTCCACCCACTCGTAGAACGACCTCCAAGCCTTGTCCGAGGGGAGGTAGAGGCAGCCGTTCCCACGCAAAGTGGGCGCGTACGGCTGGCTGGCCACGAACTTCCAGATGTGCCGCGAATGCGATAGAGTGTCGTTGTCGCGGAGCGCGGCCGTGACGGCATCATAGATGGCGTTGGACTCATCCTCCGCCGAGGCGGCTTCCGGGCTCAGCTGGATCAGGCTGACCGCATCAGACGCCTCCCAGGTCAGGGCTTCTGCCGCGCACGCTGCCGTCCAGAGCAGCAAGCAACTTTGGAGACTCCATGTCATATGGAATTCTTAGAAGATGCGGTGTGTGTGTGCACAATCAGTGTGGAGATAGAGACGAGAGAGCCCCGGAGAGCCCCGTGCGGCCCATGGGTCGTATCTGTCGGGACACGACCAGAGCCAAAATGACTACAGACCATCGTCGTCCTTGCCCTGCACACTGTAGCCCATCGACGATCACATAGTGCTCGGGGGTCGTCTTGAAATGTTCTACCACATTCCTGAAACGATATGACCTCGAAGAGCTTCGGAAGGGCAATTGCGAAATCCGCCGATCTGCCCCAACTTTCCTGTGCTGGGTCCTCGTGCTCAACACCACATCGTTACTCCTTCCTCTGTCCTCCCGCTGCCTTCTTCCTGTTCTCTCGTTCCCCTTCGTGTCTCCCGCTCCCTCGCACCTTTTCGGTGTTCATTTCTCTTTTCCTCCTGGGCGCTGCCAGGCGCGTGGCCGTCACCACTTTGCTGCGGCCTTGGAGGGCTCACCACAAAGACACCGCACGCGGACCCGAATGGGACCGAGAACGCCAAGGGTGCTGCAAGGCGTTCGACTGTCTCGGCATTGCTTCGCCCCGGCGGGCCAAGCAGAGTGGCGCCGTACGCGGACCCAAACGTGATCTCGCCTCCCTGGGTGGTGCCAGGCACGCAGCTGTCGCCGTCGCCAGTTCGATGCTCCCTTGCGGGGTCCAGCACAGAGGCGGCATACAGGAACCCAAAAGTGACCTCGCCGTCCCTCGATGCTGCCAGGTGCGCAACTGTTGCCACTGTGCTGCGCCCCTGACAAGTCTCGCGGTGGGGCGGCATACGCGCACGCAGGCAGGATTCTGCCGTCCGTGGGACTGCCGGGCGCGCAGCTGACGCAACGTTGCTGCGCTCCTTACAGGTCCCACAGAGTGGCGTCATACACGGACCACAGGGCCTTCGCCGTCCCTGGGTTCTGCCAGGCGCGCAACTGTCGGCATTTTGCTGCACCGTAAGGGGGTTCCATCACGTTGGCACCATACGCGGAACCAAAGGGGACCTCGCCCGCCGTGGTGGCTGCCAAGCGCGCGACTGTCGTCAATTCGCTGTGCCCTCGGGGGGTCCAACGGAGCAGCGCAACACGTTGGAGTAGCGCAATACGTGGCCCCGAACAGAACCTCGCGAATCCCTGAGTTTTGTTTGGCGCGCAACCGTCGCCACTTTGATGCGACCTTTGGGGGACCAACGGAGAGGCGCCGTAGACAGACCCAAGCGGAACCTCCCCCCCTGGGTGGTGCCAGGCGCGCAACCGCCGCCGCGCTGCTGAGCCTCTGGAAGGTCCAGCGCGATGGCAACATACGCGAATCCAAACGGCAACTCGCCCTCCCTGGGTTCGACCAGGCGCGCAACTGTAGCCGCGTTGCTGCGCCCCTGGGGGTCCAGCACAGTGGCGTCCTACGCGGACCCAAAGGGAGCATCCTCCCCTTTGAGTGCTGCCAAGCGCGCGACCGTCGTCATTTGGCTGTGCCCCTGGAGGCTCTGGCGGGCGCAGCGTTCCGAAAATCCGAAGGACCGCGCCCTCCTCGGCACTGCGGGGCGGTCATGCGCACATCCATCCTCTCGCAGCCTCATTTCTACTCTTCGTCGTTGTAGTGATTTCCTTCCTCCGCATGCTTTCCCTTGGATTTGCATCAAGCGGATCACATGGAGAAACCTGCATACCCCCGCCGCCTGCCGTTCGTCATCACCAGAGGGTATTACTTCTTCCCATCAGCAACGGCGCAGAACCACCCACCCTGGACCCAGCGGAACACATCAAATCGCCACAGGTGAATGCGGCACCGCCTTTGGAGGCGGGTACCGCAGGGACGGTGCGACATTGTCGTCACTTCTCCTTGCGGGACAGCGAAGCCAACCTGGGTGCACCGAGGTTCTGAGCTTGCCGTCCAGCGGGGCAGCGGCGCCTTCCTGTCTGGCACATCGTGGGGCGGATCATGAGACCGTGACGGCACACTGTCCCTGTGCATTTGCATTAGCAGGCTGGCCGGTCCGAGCACCACGCGGGCAAGCGCCAGAATTTCAAGGCTAAGCCCTGGGCCACTGACGGCGCTCGTCGCGCGTGTCGGCGCCGTCGGGCCTCGGCTCGCTTCGCTTCGATCTCGATCCAGAATCGCTGGGAATCAGTGAGGTGAGCAAAACCTGCGGGCGTAGGCGAAGGGGGCAGGGGAGAGGCGAAACGGAGGGAGAAGGGAGCGGGGAAAATGGAGGGGGAAGGGGAAATGTGCGATATCAGAATTCCTGTATGCTGGTTGCCACTGTTGGTTTCTGTGTTTGTTGTTTTCTTTGCCGGTATGTCTCTGATTTGTCGCTTTGCAACTTCCTTGCCTGCTCACAATCGCGCTCGTCTCATTCATGATGGTGTTCGCTCTCCAGTCGTCCTTGGCATCATTCTTTTCAGCTCCAGTTGGGAGGGCGGCAGGAGAAACTGAGCAGGGGCCAAGGGATCAGATATCATATGGCAGCACAGGAGAGGAAGAAATCTTGCTGAACTCCCTTATCCTACCTTGTATCCTCCCCTCGAGATCGCGGTTTGCCCTTCTGGTTTTGTTGCTGCTGCACCATGTCAGTGGATGGGGGAGGAATCTTGCCTCAGCAAGAAGAAGGGATGAGTATTGCTGGTCCGCCTCCTTCTCTCCTCTGCATCTTCCTCACAAGCAACCCCGCGTCAGCTTGGTGATGATGCTATTGTTGTTGCTGCTTCTCCTCCTCCTCCTCCTCCTCCTCCTTCTCTGCCTCATCATCCTCGTCGTCCCCCTCGTCCCCCAAACTCCCAGCATAGTGGCAACCACGTAGGTTTCTCAAACAGCGAGAGGCGTTGCAAAATGTACTTAAAAGTCTGCATCTACACTCACGTGTGCAATTGGTACTGCGCCCAGTGGCTATACTTATACGATTTCGTTCGATGCATGCCACCACCAAGTCTGCCCCATACCTCCTAACCCTGAGTCCTACATCAAGTACCCTGTCTCTTACGTCCCACCACATGTCTGCTACATGTACCTCGTCCAGCATACTGGCATGGGGATCTTACGCGTGCTTGTAACAATGCTCTTTACTAGCATGCACCTACTTCTCCACTAGAGCGGCCGCCGTCAACTCTCCAATATTCCCCACACCACCTCAATCAACAGTTCAATGCGAAGCGCACGTTGCGGCACACACTTGATCATGTGTGGGCACCCCCATCATATTTCCCATGGCTTTTAACAAGGATGGCGCGGAAAAGGTGTAGTTCTCGCTGCGCACTCGCCCACCATTCAAAACGCAACAAAAATCGTCGTGCCATGCAGTGCCGTGCCCGAGCGCAGTGCCGCGCGTGGTTGCGAGGATGCGACAAAGTTGTCGTGCAATTGCCGAGCCGTGCCGTTCCGCATGCCGTGCCGTGCGGTCTCGCGCTTGGCCCCAGGAATGCGGACCAGTTACGGTGCCGTGCCGTGTTGAACCCGCGTGCCGTGCCGCGCTTGGTTTCGAGACGTCGGACAAATGCTGTGCCGTGCCCGCGCGCCGCGCCGTGCCTGCTTTCGAGCAAGCGGGGAATGTGCAATGCCGCGCCGTGCTGTGCCGTTCTTGGTGTTGCAAATGCGGGGCCGCGCTCGCAATGCAATGCCCGCGTGCCGTGCCGTGCCGTGCTAGATTCCGAACACGCGAATAACGTGTTGCGCCGTGCCCGCGTGCCGTATCGTGCCTCGCCATGAATTGCTGCGAGAATGCGGGAACCTCGCCGTGCCGTGCCGTGCCAACATGCCAAAACATTGTGGTTTCGAGAACGCGAAACAAGTTGCTCTGTCCTGCCTGGCCCGCGTGCCGTGCCGTGCCGCGCTTGGTTTCGAGAAAATGCTGAAGAATTGCCGTGCAATGCTGTGCCCGCTTTCCTCGCCGTGCTTGGTTTTGATAATGCGGAACAAATTGCCGTGCCGTGCCGTGCTCGCGTGCAAGAACGTGCCGTGCGTGGTCTCGAGAATGCGAACAACTCCGTGCCGTGCCCATGTGCCTTGCCGTGTCGTATCTTGCCCGGTTGCAGAATGCCAAAAAGTTGCCGTGCCGTGCCGTGCCTGGTGTTCAGAATGCTGAGAAACTGCAATGCATGCAGTTCCGACTGTGTGTCTCATCATGCACCGTTGGTGTTTAGGGCCCCTTCTGTGTATGGAAAATAGGGAGCATGACCCCTGCCCATATACTGCACCTGCATCAGCAGGCACATATGCTTGTCCTTCTACAATTGGTCGTTCGGTGGCTTCTGCATCTACACCTACTCATACCTCCTACCCGTACATCCTATCGTGTCGTCTCTCACCGCTCGCCTCCTGCCGAATACCTCCAACATCCTAAATCGTATGTCGTACGTTTACTCATGTTCCGCATCGGCGCCTATATATATATATATATATATATACACCCCTTCCCCAGCCACCAGTCCTACCATCACCTCTGCCTCATCCCATGCGTACACCTCGGTGCCTACATCCGGATGTACAGCTTAATTGGCAGGAGACGACGTGGCCAAGGTGGACACACAGTGGGTGGTTTTAGCGAATGTCCCAAATACAACTTTCGTGCATCTCTCATTTTATTTGCGCTGTGACCATGTGCAGTCGGCACGGGAGCTGAAACGGCAGTCGACAGGGAGGGGGGAAAGAGGAATGAGGGGAGGAGGGGCGGAAGGAGGGAGGGGAGAGAGGGAGGAAAAGGAGAAGGTGTCCTCATGGTCTCATGGTCCTGCGCCTCCCACTACACACGCTTTTCGGACAAGAGCCTGCGAGGGAGGCATGTGTAGCTGGTGTTCTCTCTTGCAGAAATCCCTCGCGTCTGCTGGCCATGCCCGACGAGAGCCTGACTTGTTTGAAAGGAGGGAATTGCTGGGAGGAGAAGGGGAAGAACGCGGTGGGTGGTCGTCTGTCTCCAGACACACGGGACAAGGAGATGACGAGAGGGTGGACCAGGGATCAGGAGACTAGAAGGGACAAGGAGGGAGAGAAGATGAGGAAGGAGGACGTGGAGGAGGGGGAGGGGCGTTGGTAGCATTCTGAAGGACTCCCCAGTCAGTGCCGAGGCAAAAGGGTGGGTGGGGGAGGGGATCTGATCGCTCCTCCTCTCGAATTCTGGCGGCCTTAGGGGCGGCCGCGCTCTGGATACAATTTCCTCAGCCATTCAGGGCGCATGTCCACCAAATTCTGCGCTTCCGTCAGGGCGCGCTGGTAGAGCTTCGGCCGAAAGGCCTTCACCATGCACCACAGGCGGCGCTTCTGCATCTCCGTGAAGCCTTCCATGCAAGAGTCCGGCGAGTAGTCCATAAAGTTGTAGATCGGGTCGTGGCCCGCGCAGCTGTGCTGGTCCACACAGAGGTACGCGGGGAACCTCTCGGGATCTGTGTCTGAGATCTTGTCCCCGCCCTCGCAGCCGCCCTCGAAGGTGTGGAGGAGCCCGAGGGAATGCCCACCCTCGTGGATGCACGTGTCGCCCTCTTCGTAAGAGCGATCAGGCTTTCCCATCTTGCCAGCCCAACCGCGGAAGGCTTTGGAGTTGACCATCACCATCAACTCGGGGCTCGACTCCTGCCAATCGTTTGGGAACTCGGCCCACCCCAGAATGCCGCTCTGGTCATCGGTAACGACGACATAAGTCAGCGTGCCCTCGCCGTCGATGTTGTGCCGAGACGCCAGGGAGGTGTTGGAGAACGCATGCATGGCACACTCGGCGTCCTCTACGAACTTAGCCTCCTGCAAATGAAACTCGATCTGCGTGTTCACGTGAGGGGGCGGTTCCACCTTCCCCCAGGGAACATCCTCGCGCCCTGCGTATCCCTTGTTCATCCAATCGACCTGCTCTTTGATCTCGTCCTCGTTGATGGAGCAGGTCGCCCGGTCCACGCAGCAGATGATGAACCTTGTGGGAACTACGAGCTTCTTGTCCGCTGGTACGGCTGATAATCTACCCGAGTCAGAGCAAGAGTCCACAGCCAACCTGCCATGCTGCAACCTCTGCTTGCGCGACGCCCTGATATGGTCCTCCCTGACAGCATTCACGTGGCGCGTCCACTTGTCGGGGAGGCCAACGTGACCCTCGGCCTCAAAGATGCGCATATTCCTCGCAGTGGACGCGGGCCTGGTGCGGATGCACCCGATACCCGGTCCGAGGCCCTGGGGCACGCGCAACTCGGACTCCACCACCGGCGGCGGCGGCCCATCCGCCAGGAGCGACCAGTGGCTACCCTGCACGAGGCCCTCGGGGCACGCTGCGAGCTGGCTCTTGCCGCAGTGCGGATCCCATGCGTTCTCGATCATATCTGCAAACAGCGGCGGGTACGGGTGCTCCACCCACTCGTAGAACGACCTCCAAGCCTTGTCCGAGGGGAGGTAGAGGCAGCCGTTCCCACGCAAAGTGGGCGCGTACGGCTGGCTGGCCACGAACTTCCAGATGTGCCGCGAATGCGATAGGGTGTCGTTGTCGCGGAGCGCGGCCGTGACGGCATCATAGATGGCGTTGGACTCATCCTCCGCCGAGGCGGCTTCCGGGCTCAGCTGGATCAGGCTGACCGCATCAGACTCCTCCCAGGTCAGTGCTTCTGCCGCGCAGGCTGCCGTCCAGAGCAGCAAGCAACTTTGGAGACTACATTTCATATGGGATTCTTAGAAGATGCGGTGTGTGTGTGCACAATTGGTGTGGAGATAGAGAAGAGAGAGAGCGCCGTGCGGCCCATGGATTGAATATGGTTGGAAACGACCTGGTCCAACATAGTGACGGATCCTCATCCTCGCCCTGCTACGTTGTAGTCTGGCTGAAGTCCGTCACACTGCCCCTGGCACGTTGAGGCGTGATGTCAGCAAATGCCGCGTGCACTGGACCCCCTCCTCAAACTGCTCCCGGATATGTCTCTCCGAAGCTTCCGCGGAGGCCGCGAGGAAGGCCACCAAGGCTGCCAAAACGGCCCAGCATTGCCGCCAGAGGCACCCAACGGCTCCCAATTAACGCTGGACGTATCCGAAAAGGCCTCCGAAAGGTCCCCGGACACCCGCAAGATGCTCCCAAGGAGGCCCCCGAAAGACCAAAAACATTAATTTTTAGTAGTGTTCAATGTTCTTCGTTTTCCGTTCTCTTCGGTCCACGATCAGCCCGCTTGCGGTCTTCGAAAGCCGAAGGGCCCTCTGAGAGCCCCACAATCACCAATAGACGGTCCAAAACGGCCCCAAGAGAGCCCCAAGCTTACCCACAAGGGATCCAAGACGGCCCCTAGACGCCCCATGACACCCCTTCGACAGCCCCTGGAGACCTCCCAGACGGCCAAGAGAGCCCCGATACGCTCAAGAGGGCTCCAAAACGACCCAAGAGAGCCCTAAGACGGTCCAAGGGACATCAAAGATGGCCCAAGAGGGCCCCAAGGGACACCTACGAATGTCACACAGAAGCTCAAGACAGGCCCAAGACGGCCCTGAGAGCTCATCAAAGAGTGGGTACAGAGGTGTCACATGTGATGGCCATCGATCGGTTCTCGAAGCTTCGCCGTCCAGAGTGCTGAGCTGGCACGGTGGTAGGACCTGCCGCAAGCTTCTAGATACCACCAAATCTAAATTCGCCAGCCCGACGGGCCAAACGCACTCTAGATCTATGGCAAAAGCCACAGGAGCACCCAAAGGGAGCTGGAAGAGGTCCCACGGGCTATCAAAGAGCAGTGATCAATCGGTGGCAGGCCACCGAATTTACACTGACAGACATCCAAGATGCCCAAGGTAGCTTCAATGCGGCCCAGGACGGTCCAAGTCAGCCTCCACGAGCCCCCCCAGAAGGCTTATCTCGTTCAAGAACGCAATGGCTTACAAGTGCTTAAGCGTTCTCGAACTTTCGCTTCCGATGGGCTTCTGAGGTGCACAGATGGCTCCAAGATTGTCTAAAATAGCTCCACGAGCAGCCCAGAAGAGACCCAAGACGGGCCAAGGGCGTGGATGCCCCACGGCTGTACCGAAACAGCTACAATAATTCCCAGGCCCACCATGGTCCCAGACAGCGCCACGAGCCCCGCAATAGGACCAAATCACTCCGACCACCCCCTGCCTCGGGTGTTCGTTTCGAAGAGAGCAGCGATCGCCCAATCCTCCTCCTGCCTCTCTTCTCCTCCTCTTCCTCCTCCTCTTCCTCCTCCTCCTCCTCCTGCTCCTGCTCCTCCTCCTCCTCCTCCTCTCGTCCCTCCTGCCTCTCACCTCCTCTCCTGTTTTGCCTCCCGGCCTGCTTCTCCTCTCCTGCCTGTCAGCCTGCCCTGCCTCCTGCCTCTCACCTCCTCTCGTGTTCTGCCTGCCAGCCTGTCTGTCCTGTCCTGAATGCCAACCTGCCTTCTACCTCGCCGTCCGGCCTCCTGCCTCTCAGCTCCTCTCCTGTCCTGCCTGCCAGCCTGCCTTCGCCATTCCCAGGAGGGGCTGCGAACTGCGAAATGGTCGACACTTTCGAGGGCTGGTGGGGGGGCCGAGGAGTGACGTCTTACGCAAATCAAAATTACCCCAGTGTGACCCTACCTAGAAGTTGGAGCCCCTAGGAAAGCAGCATTCGCTGCTATGCTATGCTATGCTATGCTATGCTATGCCATGCTATGCTGCGCTATGCTATGCTATGCTACGCTGCGCTATGCTGTGCTATGCTAGGATTTGCTATGCTAAGCTATGCTATGTCATGCTGCGCTGTGCCATGCTAAGCTATGCTATGCGATGCTATGCTATGCTAAGCTGCGCTATGCTATGATATGCTATGCTATGCTAGGTTATGCTATGATGTGCCATGCTAGGCTGCGCTATGCTATGCTATGCTATGCTATGATGGGCTATGTTATGCTATGATATGCGATGCTAATGCAGCGCTGCGCTATGCTAAGCTAAGTTAAGCTGAGCTAGCACTCTAGGCAGAGCCCAGGTAGGGAATTACACCCATGCTAAGCTGTGCTATGCTGTGCCGTGCTGTGCTGCGCTATGCTATGCTATGCTGTGCTATGCTGCGCTATGCTATGCTATGCTGGGCTATGCTATGATATGCTATGCTGCGCTATGCTATGCTACGCTATGGTATGATGTGCTCTGCGATGCTAAAGCTCAGCAAAGCTAAGATGAAGGTAAGCTAAGCTAAGATAAACCTGAGCTAAGATGAAGCTAAGCTAAGCTACTATTAAATAAGCTAAGCTAAGATGAGATAAGCAACGATCAGCTAAGGGGACGTAGCTGGGGGAACCGCGGGGCGGATACTGGGGGAACCACCCGGGCCGGTTCCCACTGCCCGGCCCTTTAAGCCAAGAGAGTAAGAACCCTTCAAGGCATAGCCTAGGTAGGGAATTCGACCTCGCCATCCATGAGGGGTTGCAACCCCAAGCTGTCGACACTTTCGAAGGCTGCTTGGGGGTCAGGAGGACTGACGTCTTACGCAAATCTAATTTGGACCTCGCCATCCCCAGGGGGTCTGCGAACTGTGAAACTATCGTCATTTTCGAAGGCTGTTGGGGGGGTCCGACGAGTGACGTATTACGCAACTCTACATGAAACTTCGCCATCCCTGGGGGACTGCAAACCGCGAAATCGTCGCCGCTTTCGAGGGCGGCTGGGGGGGTCCAGAAGAGTGGCGTCTTACGCAAATTCAAACTCGACCTCGCCATCTCCCTGGGGGGCTACGAAGTGCGAAACCGTTACCACTTTCGGGGATTGCTGGGGTGTCCAGCGGAGTGACGCCCTACGCAGACTCAAAGTGGACCTCACCATCTGTGGGGGGCTGCGAGCTGCGAAACTGTCAAAACTTCGAGGGCTGTTGGGAGGTCAAGCAGGGCAATGTTTTACGAAAAATAAAACTAAACCTCGCTATTCCTAGGGAGGGGGTGGGGCTGCGAACAACGGAGCTGTCGACACGTTCAAGGGCTGCTGGGGGGCCCAGCGGGGCGACGTTTTACGCAGATCTAGTTTTAAGCTCGCCATCCCTCGGAAAGGGGGGCTGCGATATGCGAAGCTGCTGACATGTTCGAAGGCTGTGCTGCGGGGGTGGAGGCCCAGAAGAGTCATGTTTTACGCCAATCTAAAGTCGACCTCGTTATCAGTAGGGGGGCTGCGAACTGCAAAAGTGTCACCACTTTCGAGGACTGCAGGGAGTCCAGCGGAACGACGCCTTACGCGAACGGAAATTCGACCTCGCCGGGCTTGGGGGGCTGCGAACTGCTAAACTGTCACGGTTGCCATAGTTGCTGAGGGGTCCAGCGGGGTGATTTTTACACACTACTCGTAAGAAGGCCCCGCGAGCCCAGAGAGAGAGGGCGAGACGATCAGACGACGATCCCGCCCCAGCGATATATTTTTGCCGCGCTCTCGACACGAGAGCGAAGTGCCTGGAAAGGGTGACTCTGGGCACACCGTTCAGCGCGACCCCCGGCTGTCCCAGGGTCGCTTTCTTCCGTCAGGTTACAACTGACAGCAAGAAAAGAGCAGGCCACACTGCAGGACCACGCGCAGCATCGCATATGAAAAAAAACGTGAAGGATATGTAGGGGGGTGGCGGGGAATGGGCGGCGCCGAAAAGGCTGCGGGACCCGGCGGAAGCGCATCGCAACACATAGCTGCACACACTACTCGTAAGAAGGCCCAGCGAGCCCAGAGAGAGAGGGCGAGACGATCAGACGACGATCCCGCCCCAGCGATATATTTTTGCCGCGCTCTCGACACGGGAGCGAAGTGCCTGGAAGGGGTGACTCTGGGCACGCCGTTCAGCGCGACCCCCGGCTGTCCCGGGGTCGCTTTCTTCCAGCACTCGCTGCATTAATCGGATGAGACAGCGCCTTGCGAAGCGTGGCGACCGCTAGGCTCGGGCCCGCCTTCTTGCACTCTGAGGCTTTCGAAAGTTGGGCGGGGCCCAGGCGGCTCGCAGATCTCAGGAGAGCGGCGGGCTTCGATCCTGACGCTGTCGACGCACTGCCATCGCCCCCGCGCCTGGATCGGGTTGAGAGAGGCGTTGCTTTTGGAAGTGTCAGTCGAGGGCCCGCCATGGCGCATGCCGTGAGGGACCACCTTGAAGCCCAGCGCCGCTGAGCACTCGGCGAAGATCTTGTCCAGCTTCGCGAGGCTCAGCGCATGGAACAGGAATCCAGAGGCCAGCGCTCGGTCCACGAGCACCCTCAGGACATCCTCGGCCCACTTCCGCCCGAACTCGCCGACGACGACGCCCGCGTCGAACTGCCTGGTCTTGGCGGGCTCGTCCCCGGCTTTTGGCGCAATCGTCGCTGGCCCTCAGGTCGAGGGCCTCCTGAGGCCGGAAGTAGCAGTCCCAGGCCAGGAGGGCGACGGCGGCCGCCAGGGCGTACATGACCGGGTCCGACTGGTTGCGGAGCAGGAAGTCGACGATCAGCCAGAGCATCTCCTCGCAGGGCGGGTCGCGGCTCTGGTCGGGCGACCTCCTCCTGTACGCCTGCAGGGTCGCCTTGGCCAGCGGCATGCAGTCGGGCGATCGGATCGGCCAGTCCTCGTGGCAGGCGCAGCCGCACAAGGCGCACCTCGCTGCCCCGACGGGGCAACCGTCGAGGTAGAGGTACTCCATAAACCGGACGAGCAGGTCGCCCCACTCCTCGAGGTTGTTGTTCCCACTGGGCTTGCCTACGGCGAAGTCCAGCACCGCCGCCAAGTTCTCGCTGTACCTCTTGGCCGTCGCGGAAGCGACGCTGAGCTTCCGGAGGAACCCTGGGCTCGTGTCAGAATCAGCGAGCCGCTGGCGGCGCTGCCCGCGCGCTCGGTTCTCCCGAGCCGCGGCGCCCCGAGCGATCTGCGAGCACACCGAGTTCCCAGGAGAGCGGGCGCCCGCCCCAGTCAGCGCCCGTCTGCTGACTCCCACCCGAGCGTGGCCGCCCGCGGGAGGGCGCCCAGGTGGAACGGCTCGTCGACGACCGAGCTCCGCGCGGCTGCCAGCTGGCTCCCCCGCTGCTCGTCGAGCCTGGCGTCTGCGCACGAGCGCCAGGCTGGCGAGGGCGCCGCATCCCAGCAGAGCCCTGCCAGGCGCCTGCAAAAACGAAGAGGGTACACAGACGCGAAGCTGGTCCGCCAGCGCCAGCCAGTCCCCGGCAGGTGTACTGATCCTTGCAAGACGACATGTCGGCCATGTCCTGGGCAGAGCTGCCCCATCCGCTCGAGGCCCTCGAGGGTCCCGACAAGCCGGGTGGGCTTGCGCCAGGCTGCGCCGTAGCTGCACATCTCAAGGGAGACGCTGACCGCCCGTCGCGTGAACCGCACGAGCGGCGGCCACTGCCACAACGCGGAGTTCCTCGGATTCTCGACGACGAACTGCACACCCGCACTTCTGCAAGCGCGTAGCACACGACAAGTGAAACGAGCACATGCCAGGCCGGCAGCGTCGCGAGCCTGACCACCCGCACCGTCGCTTCCTCGGTGGCGTCGCAATGCCGCTGTCCACGAGGTGCAAGGCGTGCCCAACCAGACCATCCAGATGCGCCCGGCCAGGATCCAGCCAATGATGACGTCAGCCACGGCCTTGCAGGTGACATCGAGGTGGTCTCCATTGCGCGCGTCAATCGGCACCGCCACTCGCAGCCCGGCGGCGGCGGCGGCCACTCTGAGGTGTCCGACGCCGGCGAAGATCTCGAGGAAGAACTTCCCGGCGGGCATCTTCTTGGCCTTTGGAAGGGTGCTCCTGCTGCTGCCGTGGCTGCGGCGGCCGCTGCGGCAGCGCCGCCGGCGCCGCGGCGCTGACGCCGGCGGCTGTGGCGGCGCGGGGCTCGGGGCTGAGGGCCCAGCCCTTGGCCGCAGGATCGAGCCTGCCGCCGCCCGGGGCCGCCTGATCGGTCGCGCGCTGCTGGGCGAAGCGCCCCGCGTCCCTCGCCTCGACCCGCGCCCCCTTGACAGCCTGTCCAGGGCGGGCCCGCGCCAGGCGCGACGCGTAGTCGCTGGGGTTCCGCTCGGTCTCGATGCACCGCCGAGCCCACCTGGCGTTGGCCACGACCTGCCACGCGCAGCCCCGCCTCGCGAGGCAGAGGAGCGGCCGCGACACGGCGCGCCCCCGGTCGAACGACAAGACCTCGGCCATGTTGTCGCCGAAGCTGAGGCACACGGAAGTGTGGCGCCGCTCGTCGCGGCAGTAACCGCAGGAAGCAATTAAGAACCCCCCCCCCCCCCCCCCCCCCCTCTCCGGCGAAAGTATAACGCATCCAGCACCCTGGAGGCGTTATCCTGGCACCTCGCAGTCTTTGAGAAGATCGGAGAGAGGGAGGGAGGGAGGGAAGTGCGGGCCCACATTGCGAGGATGTCTCAAGCGACGCGTGTGCTTCATCGCCGCGGGGGGCCCCCCCCGTAGGACGCCCCCATAGGACTCACTCAGAAGACTCCCCCCCAGGACTCCCCCATAGGACCTCTCCCCTAGGACTTCCCCATAGGCCTTCCCCATCGGACCCCCCCCCCATAGGACTCCCCCGTGGGATTCCCCCATAGGACTCCTCCATAGAACTCCCTCATAGGACCCCCCCATAGAACTCACCCACAAGATTTCCCATAGGATGTGTCAGAGCAGTTCTTGAGGATGTCTCAGGCGAAGCGTTTGTTTCCGAACCACACGGAAGCCAGATTGCGAGAGTGTTTCAGGCGGTTTGCTTGCGTCGGCACGCAGACTCGTCTGCGTTCGTAGCAGACGGATTCTCAGGCTTCTCGCGTCCGCAGCTTTCGAGGTTCCCGAAAGGCAGCAGTGGGGCCCCTGAGCTTCTCGATTCCTTGGGCGGTCGTGTGAGATCAGTTATTGAATTACTCTGTAGATTCGTATTCATATTGACGCGTGTTCAGTCGTACTTCTGTCTTGCCTGTTCCTCCCGCTTGGTTATAATTTGTATATGATTATTCTCCTCCCTAGTACTCTTGCCCTCACTCTTGACAGGGGGTCGGGGGGCGGGGAATTATTTTCCGTGCGTGACCGGTGCTAAGATAACGCCGCGGTGCGGGGTGGCGCGTTATCCTGGGATGGACCACCCCACAGGATGGCCGAAAATAATTAATGTTTCAATACGGATATCAATAAGAATTTGTTAGGAGAGGGGCGATGAGGAGAATCAGAAAAAGGAGACTTGTAGTGGACGGTAAGGAGAGCGTGTGAACCTGCAGTCGCTGGGTACGAGCTATTACTATTAATATATCTATTACTATTACTATTACCATTTCTATTACTACTACTATTACTATTACTATTACTATATCTATATATATTACTATTACTATTACTATTACTAATACTATTACTATTACTATTACCATTCTTACTACTATTACTATTACTATTACTGTTACTATTATTATTACTATTACTATTACTATTACTGCTACTATAACTATTACTATTACTATTACTATCTCTATTACTATTACTATCACTATTACTATTACTATTACTATTACTATTACTATTACTATTACTATTTCTATTTCTATTTCTAGTACTATTACTAGTTCTATTACTATTACTATTACTATTACTATTACTATTACTAGTATTACTACTACGTTTACTATTACTATTACTATTACTATTACTATTACTATTACTATTACTATTACTATTACTATTACTATTACTATTCTATTACTATTACTACTGCTATTACTATATCCATTACTATTACTATATCTATTACTATTACTATTACTATTACTCTTACAATTACTATTACTAGTACTAGTACTATTACTATTACTATTACTATTACTATTACTATTACTATTACTATCAGTATTAGTATTGCTATTATATTACTATTACTATTACTAGTACTATTACCAATACTATCACTATTACTATTACTATTACTATTACTATTACTATTACTATTACTATTATTAGCATTATTACTATTATTATTACTATTACTATTACTATTACTATTACTACTACTAGAGCCCAGGGGGGACCAGGACTCCGTGGAAGTGTTTAGCATCAGTGACTCCATGGAATGGCCTTGGGCTCCTCAGCATCTCCTTCAACCTTCTTTCCTTGGCATCCCAGGAAATCCTTGCCCCCCTCCCTGGGCTCCTTCAGAGGTCCCCCCTGGGCTCTTCCAGGATTGTCTGAGAGGGGTGCTGCTGCTTTTCGGTGTACACCGACCTTCCTTAGGAATCCTCAGACCTTCCTTAGGCATCCTTAGGAATCCTTAGGAATCCTTAGGGCCATGGCGCTGGAATTATTTAATTTATTTTTGTTTTGCGCGGTGCTAAAGATAACGCTCGGCTAAAACCACCCCAAATAATAATTTAATTACGGCGCGGTGCTAACGATAACCCCGGGGGGTTCCTTAATTGCTTCCTGCGGTTAGTCGAACAGCCCGAAGAGCGAGGCGCGGGCCTCCAGCAGATGGATCTTGTCCTTCGCCTTCCAGCTGCCAGCCACGAGGCGCTTCCAGCGGCGCGGGTCGTCCCACTCTGGCCCCAGCGCTGGCGCCATGCCGTGGACCTCCACCAGGGCGTCCGGGGCGCGGCAGCGAGCGTCCGCCCGCCGAGGCAGAAGGCCCAGCCCAGGCCGAGAATGGGCCTGCCGCGCAGCCCGGGGCAGGGTCCCCTGGCGGCAGCGCGCCGCGACAGACTCTGGGTTCAGGCCCGTCGCCGGCGAACGCATCGGGCTCCCGGAAGCGCCACCGCTCGCGGTACTGGGCAGCCGCCCAGGACTCCTGTGGCGTGGCGGTCGTGGCGTGCACGGCGTACCCTTCGCCGCTCGAATCCGAGCAGTAGACCCGGTCCCCGATGGGGCCGGCCAAGGTCCGACGCGGCCAGCGGGAGGAGGGATCGCACCGTGCGCAGCTCGGCGAGCTCGTCGCCGTCGAAGGCCTTCCAGTCGCCGGCGCCGTCGCCGATGAAACGGTACAGGGCGCGCAGCACGCAGAGCAGCTCGCGACGCACGCTGAAGTGGTCGACGACGCGCCCCACCGCCCATCGCACTTGCGAAGGCGCGGCCCCGCCCAGGTGCTCCAGCTCGCGCAGCGCGTGCCAGAGTCGCCACATCCGCCTGGGCCTCGGCATGAGCGAACGCCTCGGGCCGTGAACGATCCGGCCCACGAGCTCGAGCTGCTCCGCCCCCGGCTCCACCTCCTCGTGCGTGACGAAGCCCACGGCGTGTAGCTCGTCGCGGAATGCGACGTGCAGGCGCGCGCAGGCCTCCTTGGAACCGCCGATGATGTCGCCGTTGTCGACGTAGGGCGCCAAGGTGGCCCAGCGAGGGCCGAAGGCTGGAGAGGGCTGCCAATCGGCCAGCGGCTCGCCGCCCAGGCCGCATCGCGCCAGAGCGCGCTTGCCGGCCTACTCGAGCCCCGAGTGGCAGAAGAACATCGCCCAGCTCCACCCCATTGGCAGCCCGCCGAAGCACGCGCGCAGCTCCTGCGACGGGCTGACCTCCACGACGCGGCCGAGGTCCTCGTCGAAGACCTCGGTGACCCCAGCCTCCTCGGCGGCGAGCGTCTCGTCGAACGCGAACCACGAGACCGCGCTCGGCACCGAGAACTGGTTGAACCCGTCCTTGAGGCCGATGCCCGAGCCACAGACATCGAAGTCGTCGTCGCAGACGCCGCCCTCGCCGCAGATCTCGGCCCACTGCCTCGACAGGTTGAGGTTCGCCAAGGCCCCGGGGGTCGACGGCCGCGACTTCGGGGGTCGGCGACGCAGCTCGTTGACGCCTCGACAGTCAAGCACCGGTGGATGCTCCCGTCTTTCTCGCCGACGAAGAAAGCCCCGATGCGGCCCTTCTTCCCGAGGCGGTAGGCGACAAGCCCGACGCGATCCAGCCGTCGGATGAACGCCCGGCGCCGCCCTCCTGGATGTCGAAAACTCGGGCCCCAGCGAGGCGTAGTCGGCTCCCCCACCTTCTCCAGCTCCTCGTCTGGAAGGACGATGCTCTCGTCGGGCTTGTCGAGGCGCCGCCCCGCGAACTCCCCCACCAGCTCGCGCGCCCGGAGGGGGCGGGTCCGCCCCTCGAGCGCCATGAGGCGGTCTGCCCGGTAGGGCACGGAGCTGGCGCCCTCCTCCACGTCGTGCACGGTTGGCGATCGCAGGACGCTGGCCAGGGGCCCACCCTCGAACTCACTGGCGTCGATCGGCGGGTCGAAGAGCTGACCGCGGAGGCGATGTTGCTGAGCATCGAGGACTGGCACGGTGACAACTCGTGCTCGGGGGTGCGGCGGGGCCTGCGCAACCCCAGACCCCGGCCAGCTGTGGACTCGCGCAGGGCGTTGAGTCCGGCGACCGCCTTGGCCACCAAGACCTCGCTGCGATGCCAACGTCCTCGCCGGCGGCGTGCCTGCCGCGAGGCAGACCAACTTTACCCAGCGCGCCCGGCACGAACAGGAAGAGGAAAAGGCGACGCCGGGCCAGGGATCGCGACGCCCGGCCCGTCGCCACAAGGGCGAGCGCCGCACCCGGCCATCGAGCGAGGAGAGCAAGTGCTATTACTTCTTGGGCCCCTTCTTGGCGGCGGCCCTCTTCTCCTCCTCTTCGGCGAAGAGCCGCTGCTGCTTCAGCGCGTAGGCGTGCGTGCGCTGCTCCTCCGCGACGAACTTTGCGAAGGCGCCGGCGGTGACGCCTCCGGCGGCGTCCAACCTGCTGGTGATCGCGAGGGCCGCCCCTGCGAAGTCTGGCGCCTTTGGGTTCTT